TACCTCCCACAGATTTCGCAGATAACAAATGGGACATTCATATCACTAATGAGTACGTTTCCACCTTTAGTAAATCAAAGGTGGGGAACGATGAAATATCCTTGCGTCTATCCAGCAAAACAAATGTTTCAACAGACATAAACTTTGTTTAAAAGAACTCGCTGACTAAAGAAACATTTTTAATTCACTAATAAAATACAGAGAAGAGAATATCGATTTCTAGTATCGTAGCAAATACGGGATAACAGGGAAAATATTCAATTACATAAACTCCACACTGTAAAACGAAGAGAAAATCCAAAATTCATGTATGTGTTCATCAACAAAATCATGAACTGAAGACTCAATTGTGCTGGTAAGCGGTTCATAAAGGCCAACTTATTAACTGCACTAGCAACAATTTACAAATATGTACAACCTCCACCGTAGTTTGCGAAGAGAAACTTTGACAGGCCTACCACTAAGAAAGATCTATCTGCTGACTGTTTTTAGAAAACCAACTGTCCACATAGTATTAAAATCATGAACAAACGCAAATTCAAATGTTGAAACTTGCAACAGCTTCTACCTTAAATACGTAACGTTGTCTGGAAAGACGACAAAAACTCTAAAAATAAATCTGATAAGTCTACCAATTGATCCGATTTCCTAGCCGCCTTTAGTGATTTCAAATTAAATCTAAGTGAAAATACAAGAGAAAAGGCGCGAAGTAGGAAAATGCTTTACTCAAATTCCAGGTATGTACAGGAAATCGTGTGCGTTTATGCCACTTGGCACAACCTTGTCCAGAAAATTCTAGAAGCACAGTAGCTATATTAGTAGAAAAGTAAATACTCTGTCGAAAAAGAGACGTGGTCTGTCATCGTTCCAAAAGCCTCGAAGAGACTTCCATTCATTGAGCCATGGTATATAAGGTCGGGACCCAGGCGTTCATTAAGAATAATTAATATTTGGGAAACATGCAACTCAATATACATCTAGAAACCAAAGAATCATACTGAAACTGCGATTAGATGGCTGGTACTGATTGATTTAGCATCAGAATATAGTCCAACGAGGTTCTTCCGGTTATATAACAGAACTCGTCCGGATTTACTGAGATGTCTGTTTAACGATTTCGTTTCATGGTAGATATCAGGTGTGCAAACATCAGATATTTAATCATACATGATTAGCCATAAAAGGTTTGACGAGGAAATTCCGGTGGTTATTTCTCTAGAAATAGTTAAGAAAATGGATATGCTCAATGAATAAACAATGCCTTATCGCGTTCAGTGACAAGGAAACAATTATATGACTGGTGTCGTCAATAAGTTTACAACCAACTACAATGAATATTACAACCCTGATCTTAAATTATGATTAAGGAAGAGAAACAAGTCTAGCATAAGAATCTTTGTATGCATGTAGTGGTGATCTCGACATAATTTGCCTGAAAGTTTATGATAGCAAGACTATCATATACGCAGATTGTGTCTGCTCGCTTCGTTACAATATAAAGATAAATACGAAGCACCATAGGAAGTTTGGTAAGATGCATTTTCCCTTAATAAATGGTATTTTAACTGAGCTCCTTGTCCGTGATCTTAATGGTTCACAAAAAATAATTATATTTTTGTTATATCCCAATGAGTTTACCTTATCTATGTATATATAAAGTTTGTTGCAGAAATTCAAAGTGGGATGTTGACAAATCTATGATTACCACGGTATTTGATCTCGTACCAACCAGCACCATAACTTATTTAGCCATTCAAACCACGAATGACCTACATGTTTGAAGTATTTATACTTTAAAAAAAATCCTTACTACTTGTGCATTGAAAATGATCATTACAGAGCACACGTTTTACTACGCGATCTTTTTCACGGTCATCATTTTGGTAAATCTATTTCTCCAGGTTTAAGCCTGATTTTTAAGCTGAAATATTTGTCAGTGTTATCATCCATCTTGTAATTCTTATATTTACTATTACTATCAATATGTACACATTAGTTAATATGATTACTTACGCAATCTACCGTATTGTTACCATTATCTCACAATTTGCCTTAATTGGTCTAACATTCTCTACATATTTATGTAAACATTACTGTATATTAGACGAAAGGTTGGTGAAGATTGAAAGCACTATTATCTGCTTATATGTCGTGTTCTCATTTGCATGAATCGGTTTTCAATCCTGTCTATGACTTTGTCAGATAGCAGCTCGCACTAAAAGACTTTTCAAAATATGTCCAGTAGATTAGCTTTTATAAAGCTGCACTACATTGCGCAATGTTCTAAGGAATCGTATATCAATTATTCACAGGTTAGTCGATTACATTCAACTGGGTTATTAAATGATTCAAATGCCTGTGTAATGTTGCCGAAAACTAGTTGAAAAAAGAACTGTACAGAAAACAACCAATCCTTGGTGTTACGTTTTGTTCGTTGCTATAATGAAAATAATCAATTATACTGATTTTCATTTCTAGTTATGCATTCCGTGTGATGAACTGATAATAACTTCAGAACCGCAAGATTCATTAACCGTCGATCCAAATATTCAACTGTCAGAGAAAACTATCCAGTTATCAGTGTAAGTTGAATCAGTAGAAATAAAATTCCAACATCCAAAATTTGTTTTTGCTGTCAAACTAAGATTTTTCAAATCGGAGTTTATCTGACCGTATATCCAGCACACAGAAAAATTAGTCCCATCCCTTCCAGATTGCTATACTGGGGGAAAATAAAAAATATGTACTAAAGATAATTTGCTCATTTATTTTATATGTAACACATAGATTTTTCTTTAGTTAACATATGCTGGGAGATACCGAAGAAATGGCCTTAATATACGATCTAAGAACGTAGCTGCACAGAAGGAATAAGTTTATACACCATTTCATCTTTCACGAACATTCAGAATGACCTGATCATCCGATTCTATTTATAATGCACCATATTTCTGCTGGTCTACGCCGTTTTTCTGGTATGATATTCTTGTCATCACTATTCACTGTGGCTTCAATGAATGTAAGCGTATTTAGATACAAACACAAAATCTTAAGGAAATTCACTTTCTTTAAAATAAACAACGATCTTGCTATTTTTTTAATTGCTTTACGAAAATTCATTAGGAAATCATAAAACGGACAGTTTAACAATTTGCAAGAACCATTAACATTCATCAATTTCAACACACAACAATCACTTCCGTCTGCTGGCGAAAAATGAAGTCAAAGAATTAAAACAACAGGCTTGATGCCATCAATAGATTGGCAACGAAAATTTTTATATAATAGAAATATTAGTTTGTATGTATGACAAAACAGTTGTTCATCAATTCGAGATTTTATTTTAATGAAAATCAATAAAGCATGTCAGAATAAGTGTAGTGCTTCTTAATTTGTTGACGAACCCCCTAACCTAGTGTTCCATTGGCAGTTGGTTACTATAGATGATATTATTTCCAACTACTGGGATTAGTTGTACTTGCAAGTAAAAAGGTGTAGATAGACAGGCTTGGCCGCCATACGACATTTAAATGTGATTTCTGGTCCTTCAATAGCAAAAATATCTTATCTATAAAATCCACTTAACAGTTTATCAGATTACTTATGAGATGTTTATCAGTTTTAAAGTCACAGCCGTAATTTCAAGCAAGCTGGTAGGAAGTCGTTCACTCACCAACTACTAAATAGCAGCGCACTTTTAATCTGTATTACTTAGATCCATACCACGTAGACAAACAATGGGTAAATATGATAACGCGTTTATATCGAAATATTTCTCGTTGATGAAACTGAATGAAAAATTTATAAATTACGATGTAATTAGTCCGAACAATATTTAAATTGATAATATGAACAATGTGACTTTCATGTTGAGAAATAATACGTTTTTCACAGTTTTTCCATGGTATATGTCACCAACCTCTTGGTTATCGTACATATTCATTCAGAAAACATCTATGGAGCTTCGAAAATACTGCAGATTTGCTAAAGAAAATCTGATTAACACTTATTTCAACTCATTAACAAACTAAATGACAAATTTCACAGGAAGATTTCTAGGCTCGCATTATGAACAGTAAAACAAATCCTAGCAGATGGACTCATCTACTCAAAAACTTGAATGTCTTTTAGCAAGCTCATCTAAACAGCTTGAGTACCAACGGGAAACCAACATCAGAAAAATTCAATTGACTAAACGTTGATTGTGTTTGGTCAAAAATGCACAAAATGGACATTTAAATGCGGTCAATCATCGCACTGACTGTACCTTCGTGGATCCAGGCAATCACTTGACCTTACCTCCCACAGATTTCGCAGATAACAAATGGGACATTCATATCACTAATGAGTACGTTTCCACCTTTAGTAAATCAAAGGTGGGGAACGATGAAATATCCTTGCGTCTATCCAGCAAAACAAATGTTTCAACAGACATAAACTTTGTTTAAAAGAACTCGCTGACTAAAGAAACATTTTTAATTCACTAATAAAATACAGAGAAGAGAATATCGATTTCTAGTATCGTAGCAAATACGGGATAACAGGGAAAATATTCAATTACATAAACTCCACACTGTAAAACGAAGAGAAAATCCAAAATTCATGTATGTGTTCATCAACAAAATCATGAACTGAAGACTCAATTGTGCTGGTAAGCGGTTCATAAAGGCCAACTTATTAACTGCACTAGCAACAATTTACAAATATGTACAACCTCCACCGTAGTTTGCGAAGAGAAACTTTGACAGGCCTACCACTAAGAAAGATCTATCTGCTGACTGTTTTTAGAAAACCAACTGTCCACATAGTATTAAAATCATGAACAAACGCAAATTCAAATGTTGAAACTTGCAACAGCTTCTACCTTAAATACGTAACGTTGTCTGGAAAGACGACAAAAACTCTAAAAATAAATCTGATAAGTCTACCAATTGATCCGATTTCCTAGCCGCCTTTAGTGATTTCAAATTAAATCTAAGTGAAAATACAAGAGAAAAGGCGCGAAGTAGGAAAATGCTTTACTCAAATTCCAGGTATGTACAGGAAATCGTGTGCGTTTATGCCACTTGGCACAACCTTGTCCAGAAAATTCTAGAAGCACAGTAGCTATATTAGTAGAAAAGTAAATACTCTGTCGAAAAAGAGACGTGGTCTGTCATCGTTCCAAAAGCCTCGAAGAGACTTCCATTCATTGAGCCATGGTATATAAGGTCGGGACCCAGGCGTTCATTAAGAATAATTAATATTTGGGAAACATGCAACTCAATATACATCTAGAAACCAAAGAATCATACTGAAACTGCGATTAGATGGCTGGTACTGATTGATTTAGCATCAGAATATAGTCCAACGAGGTTCTTCCGGTTATATAACAGAACTCGTCCGGATTTACTGAGATGTCTGTTTAACGATTTCGTTTCATGGTAGATATCAGGTGTGCAAACATCAGATATTTAATCATGCATGATTAGCCATAAAAGGTTTGACGAGGAAATTCCGGTGGTTATTTCTCTAGAAATAGTTAAGAAAATGGATATGCTCAATGAATAAACAATGCCTTATCGCGTTCAGTGACAAGGAAACAATTATATGACTGGTGTCGTCAATAAGTTTACAACCAACTACAATGAATATTACAACCCTGATCTTAAATTATGATTAAGGAAGAGAAACAAGTCTAGCATAAGAATCTTTGTATGCATGTAGTGGTGATCTCGACATAATTTGCCTGAAAGTTTATGATAGCAAGACTATCATATACGCAGATTGTGTCTGCTCGCTTCGTTACAATATAAAGATAAATACGAAGCACCATAGGAAGTTTGGTAAGATGCATTTTCCCTTAATAAATGGTATTTTAACTGAGCTCCTTGTCCGTGATCTTAATGGTTCACAAAAAATAATTATATTTTTGTTATATCCCAATGAGTTTACCTTATCTATGTATATATAAAGTTTGTTGCAGAAATTCAAAGTGGGATGTTGACAAATCTATGATTACCACGGTATTTGATCTCGTACCAACCAGCACCATAACTTATTTAGCCATTCAAACCACGAATGACCTACATGTTTGAAGTATTTATACTTTAAAAAAAATCCTTACTACTTGTGCATTGAAAATGATCATTACAGAGCACACGTTTTACTACGCGATCTTTTTCACGGTCATCATTTTGGTAAATCTATTTCTCCAGGTTTAAGCCTGATTTTTAAGCTGAAATATTTGTCAGTGTTATCATCCATCTTGTAATTCTTATATTTACTATTACTATCAATATGTACACATTAGTTAATATGATTACTTACGCAATCTACCGTATTGTTACCATTATCTCACAATTTGCCTTAATTGGTCTAACATTCTCTACATATTTATGTAAACATTACTGTATATTAGACGAAAGGTTGGTGAAGATTGAAAGCACTATTATCTGCTTATATGTCGTGTTCTCATTTGCATGAATCGGTTTTCAATCCTGTCTATGACTTTGTCAGATAGCAGCTCGCACTAAAAGACTTTTCAAAATATGTCCAGTAGATTAGCTTTCGATGCATCCGAAGATTATTAATAGAATGTCACTATATATATTCATACTGTGTAACTATTACGTAACAAGGTTATACATATTTATATTTGTTTCATCATAAGCTTTCATTTCACTTATTGGCAATCGTTATACAATTTACCATTCTTAATTTATCTCCAATCTATTACTTACAGTCTCGTATACTCACAGGCACTTTTAGCTTGATCTTGTATAACTATTAATTTTCATTTTATAGTGTGATGCGGTCTGGTCTGCTTGTATGTAAACTACGTATGTCTGAAACTTATTATTCTTACAGTAGTGGCGAGTAATATGTTCTGGACTCGACGGCCAAGGCTAGGCGAAAAGCTATTACATCGAAGATTGAAAAGGATTCAGAGTTGATTCAAGACCGCTGGTGCTGGTTGACGTGTCAGTGGTTTAACACAGAGATCACATAATATCCTTGTTGTTCCGTTCGTATTATTTAAACTTGGATTAATTTTGATTTGGTTATTTATTTATTCTATGAAGTGGCTTACACTAAGTCACGAAATGTCAGAAAATCTAATTTTCCTACTCATTGATATATTACAAATATATCATTTATTTATAGCAATCTACCCAATGCTCAATTTTGTCACGTGGTAACTGACAGGGGCAAAAATGATAACTTTTATTCAAATTCAAGCATCTCGAAGTGTTGTTCATTTTATGGAAATTGTTTATTGTGTAATCTTAGGATTCTTTTTTGGTTTTTCTGTCACGCCATGACGTTGTGAGATAATCAAAATACCAATTTATGATAGTTTATTCCATTTATTACTATTAAATTAAAGAACATTTTGTTTGTATATTGTGAATAATATATGTAGGAAAATTATTAAATTATAAGATGCTGATAATATTTTTGTTTTTCTCTAATTAACGTAATCTTTGACACCCGTCTAAAACAGTCTAGAGCCAAAGAGATTTTTGGATGGAGTGGGAGATTTCTAAATTGATAAATATATTCCCAGTTCATATGAAAATTATTTTCAAAAGTGAACCCAGTGAACTACCAGTTTTAGACTGTTCGGTTAAAGGAATTGAAATGGAAAACCAGATCTTATGGTGAGAATATAATTTCTAGATGAAATTTGAGCGATGCTAAAGTGACCTTGGGAATACCCACCTAATTGCTAAGGTTAGAAAATGGTTATAAATTCGTGGGAGGAATTAGGGTTTCGAGTTAGCTAATTAGGGTTTTCACCACGAAATGGCATACAACATAATGTGAAAATTCCATCTAACCATATGGACAAATACATCTCGCGCAAAAAGCTAACATGTACTATATTTAATTTCATAGGCTGGTCCATAGATTATAGTCTTTCCCATCTGTCATTTAGGCGTAAGCTTAGAAATTTAAATCGATATAATTATTTCAACTCGTCACATACACTCGATGCAAAACTCTTTTCGGAGTACTTCATCAATGTCACAGATTTCAACTAACTGAAATTCAGTGAAGAAACCGTCTTAGTTGCAAAGTTGCAGGTATGTTTAAAATCTAATTATTTACTTCGGAAAACTAAATACTGTAAGAGAAAAAATGTTCAGGTATGTCAAAACGGTAAGAAATTATGTACAGAAATAGACATATCTATACTTTTCATATACAGAAGTTAAAATCATTTGAGAGTTGGTTATTTGGCTGTTGTGACTTTTAGCTCGGCAAAACTATCACTTAACTTATTTGCCAATCGGAACACGACTTATACAATTTCAGCACTGTGCCACTCCAATAACGTATCGACCGGTATGTACAACCTAGCGTCCTTATTGATCTTTTTTCGCTTAGTCCCGCCAGTTCAGTCCAGAACACCAATACCAGCTCCCATTATACGAATCATTTATTTCAAACATACTTGGTTTATAAACGAGCCAAACAGAAAACAACACATCACAAAATCAGACCAAAAAGTGGCTGTGATTGTGGGAGACGGTAACTAATAAACTGGGCATAACTTAAGAACAGTCAATCGTATCATTATAGTTTATGGGTCAAAATGAAGCTTATAATAAGAGGAATATAAATATACATAATCTAGCTACCGAACAGTTATACAATCAGTATATATATATATATATATATATATATATATATATATATATATATATATAATATTAGTCCACTGATTGTTCTCAGAAGTTACTAATAAATAAAACTTCACTAGAAAATAACAGTGTTTATAGCGACTGACTTACTAACATCAATATCTCATTTGATAATATAGATTTTTCTAAGTCATTTGTGTCACAGATGATATATCGTATTGAATATTTCAGCAGATAATTAACATACCTCTTTGTGGATGCCAAACTTTCAATTAAATAATTTTATATTGGTTAACCTGAAATAAAAAATTATCATATGTTACTAAAATTTAAAAACAAGTATCAACAATAATTTTCAAGAAAAATACAACAGGATCCAAAAAGAAGGAGGCACTATTCTAATCAGTCACTGAATCCTAGTTTGATTAATTATGCTATAATATGTTATTCATATCAGCGTCATAGAGGAATGACTTTTTAATTACTAAAATGAAGAGAAGTAACATTCATTGATTGATAATATACAATGATACGATGTCTCCTAGTGATGGCTAGTCACGAGATCTAATTACTAGTTGAAGCCTCTGAGTGATTTTAAATCAAATAAACCCTTGACCAGATGACTGATTTTTCGTGTAATAGAATAGCAGGCTCATTTTATTACCAAAAAGTAACCATGATGAAGCGTTATACGGGATTAGAGGAAATTAATTTGCGGGTCACTCACGTTTCAGTCAATTAGAAGTTTATTATTAGATTCGTGGATGTCGTAACAGTCAGTGTTGTTTCAATGAATTTCAGACAGGGAAGAAAATAATTTCAATGTGACTGCTACAAAGTCTTAGTTCAGGGATTTTTTTTCGAATACCACCGAAAACCTAACATAGACAGTAGTGTAAAACATTTGAATCATTTAAATCAGAGATGGAACAACTTTGCCAGTTAAGCCGAAAATGAATTTAGCTATTACATTAGATAGAAAATACTGAAATATTTTGAATCAATATACTGATATGTACTATTTAGCCAAACTAACCTGAGTACAATACCGCCACCAGTGTAATTCATCTCCATCCGTCAATTAGATAGGGATAGATAATAATTAGGAAGAATCCTTCTTATCGTATTATACAGTACAGACCCTAGATTTCTACCAGTTAGTTCACATTCGTACATGAAAACACCTGTTGACATCAAAGACGTGGAAAATTATTTTTCTTAGATTGAGAACTCGTTTTTTGATTAATCGTATAATTCAATCAATGTTATATGTTTGAAGAATATACTTAGGCCGTTGTCAGAATCCAGGTCAATTGGTTCCATTTAAAGAGCGTGATTGACTGCTTTATTATAAGAAAACAGAGCAGTAGGAAATTAAAATACGGTCCAAATGCTTTGAATTTTTACAAATGTGAAAACTTATTCATGAGTTCCTTACTTCTGAGCGATCTTGCACGTCACATTGAATGCTATTTGACAGTAAAACATATAAACATGCATGAGATAAAAAATTGCGCGGTTTTTTAAATAAGCACATTTTCACGCTGAAATCAGCTCGATGCTACCCAAAGAGCAAATAGATAGAAATGTAAAAAAATGACTCCAGACGACGATATGTACAGTTTTGATTTATTCCCATTGGCGCATTCCTAACAATGAAGGATACTGTTTCTATTAAGAGTATGAGCAAGAATACCGAATTTGTTTGCAGTTCCTTAGTTCAATACATTTGACTGAAATGTTTCGAATAAGAGATGATAGCTTTTTAGTTGTAAGTTAGGGAACAGAAATAAAGAACATTGGAAAATTGCCCGTATAGTAATTTTAGAATAATCTAAATGTTTTTATCATCTGATTTTTAAAAAAAAATTTAAATATTAATAAATTGGGAATGTATGCTACTTATGTTCTCCGAATACGTATTTGAGGTTATTTTCGACTAGTCGTAGATTATCACTCCTTGGTGTTTAGGGAAAGTGAAACATAGTGAGTTAGGTTACTCGATTTTTTGACTATATTTAAAGAACCCAATATTTCAAGTGATTATTCATTCTGTGTAATAAATTCAGTAGAAAGAGGTCTTTTATAATTTCTTGAATGCAGTACATATAAATTATTAGAAAATGCAGATACTGCATTCAACATCTATGTTCAGAAACTCAAATATTGGTTATTTAGTCATAAAACAGCATTTAGAATTTTTCCTTCACTTTGTCTAGAAATAGTTGAGTATGTCAGGAGATTTCACCACCAAAATCAAATATGATATCGCAGATTACAACAAGATTATCCTGTTATCTGAGAGAAAAAGGGTGGGTAATGAAATCAATCACATGTAAAGTGAATGAAAAATAGACACCAAAATTTATAGTAACGGACATACTAGTTATCCGGAAATGATAAAACACTAGTTTGACAGTCAATACATTAAATTTATTTGGACTTTCAACATAAGGAAAACGTTAACTGACAAACCAACAGTTTAATGAACCCAAAATTGATTTATTTTGTAGATCTATATAAATTGTCAAGAAATACAACAATCGATTACTGAATTCATAAAAGACGTGAAAATTTAGTATAAAAAATATATGACTTTACTAAGCAACTTAAGCTTCTGAAGTTACACCTACAGTAAGATATTGTCAACATTGTATTGCAGAATGTACTTGTGACTAATACATTAAATTATTTGGGATTTTTTCCAACCATAAGGACTCCAGTAACCTTTATTTGAGAAAAAGTCCGTAAAACCAATGTATAAAACAGTTCAAAAGAATTGAGCTAAAAAGTACGCAAAATGTTTCTGTTGAATTTATATACATTACATCTTAAATACCCAGTTATCTGAAAGTTATGAAATGTCATACAGAAGAGATGAATTAAAGATTAAGCTGAAGACGATAGAAGTGATGCTATGAAGTGTCTTATTGAGTAAAGGGTAAGGTCGAAATCTAACATTTTGGGTGTAATTTATGAGTACAAAATTACACATTCGAAATATCAAACCAGTAATTTACTACTTATTTTAATCACCCTAGTGATGTGTAGCGTGCAGTACATATTTACTCCTTCAAGAAAGAGATTATTGACAATAGTTTTTTTTATATGAAAAAACAAATATAGTACAAAAAAATGAAACCGAAAAACAAACTTAAAAGTTGAATATATACTTACAAATTCAACGACTATGAATCCATTTGAACAATAATAAGTCTACCTAATAAATTGAAGAAAAACTGGGCACTGAAACAAAGATCAATTGTTGTTTAAAAATAAGTCAAAACGCTGGTGTTTAGCAAGAACTAAAACTAAATCACAATAAGAAAAATAAAATGTAGTAGAGGTAGTCAGTTAATAAAGTGACACATGGATTAATAGAACCATAGGGTGACGTCACTTGCTAGCGAGAATAAATGCATCAGATTTTTCAGTTCATTTATCCACATGTTACTTGATAAGGCCATAAACATTAAAACGTCTCAATAATTATTTTTTTTAATACATGTCAATGCAGCACTTAAGGACATTTTTGTTTCACAGTTACCTAGAAACTTCTTTTAGTTGAATGACTGCATGCACATCACAGTTCAATAACGTGGGTGACAGCATCCGAATCTATTACATTTTTAGATTTTGGACAGTAATTCTCATATAATCACATGCCGTAAGTTGGATCTTTGCCAAAAAAAATGAGAGTGAAATATGGACTTCTGGTTCTTTACACGAAAAATCAATGCATCTTACCATATAGGTCAACAGAGACATAAGACTTTAGCTTCTTTTATGATTGTTATTTTCTCACCATAAATTTGGGCGATCGATAACAAATAAAGAAAATTTTAAACTTTATAAGCACTCCACTATTAAACCTAGATTTCGTACAATGTCTACGACCAAAACTGATTTATTTTTTTATTCTACTGAAATCTAAATAAAAGATTTTAAAGTGTTTTACTTAACTATGAACTAAAAGAATTATGAATACCCAAAGTCCTAACCAGTGACACATGTTAGGGAAGAGGATTTATAAGTTTCTGTTTAGCTGGCTAGGTGTACTGGAAGGCTTTGAGTTTATTTCTAACCTATTTATTCTTTTCTCGAGTTCATTGAACTGAGTTACAAGCTTATTGTAAAACAATACTTTGAACTCATTCTACATAAATGAATTTGTAAAACGGGAGTTAAGAGAGGAATTTTTTAGCCCTAGTGGAATTATTATGTTGGAATTGCGTTCTCTGAATTAGCAGTTGTATTCATAAAGCTTTTGCTCCCTTCTTAGAAATCATCAGTGCGAACTTCAGATAGAACACATAATTCAAACAACGCCTGTCTTGAACGTGCAGTGTTGTCCAGCAAAGTAGTAAGGGGTTGGCAGGAAGATATTATCGGTCACACCAAGACGTAACATCAGTCAGTGAAGTCATTAATTATTGGTCTAACCTGTGAAGGCAGATGCAGACTTCCTGGAAAGTGGGTAGCACAATGCAATAAATCAATGATTGAAACGTCAGCTGTAGTGTTGCACTGAAATCTAGACAGTCAGAAGTAGAAAAATGTGTTGATATGACAAAAGTTTATTTTCATTAAATACATCCTTAAGCCTAAATGAGATAAATGATTGAATGCTATGTAAGCAACAGTATTGCAACACGCAATACATCAGTGAATATACGAATGCATTGACAAACCTAAAACTTGTTACTCGCACATACAAAACTTGAATTTATAAGCTTACAGATGAGTTACTTGGTTGGTTGAAATGTTACTAATAAAGTCTTTGTGATCAGAGAATAAAATAGATTAAAAATGAGTTTTTTTAGAAATAGTCTTCATGCTAAATGAGCCACAATAAAGTGTTAACTGCCCATGTTGTTACGATCCCAAATTTTGACATTTAAGGTGATGGAAGAAGATTAAAATGCACCGTATATGAAAACGATTCAGTTGAAATTAATTGAACTATAAGGTTTGTTTATATGAACAAAAAGTACGTGGTCTGTTTATTTTTTTGACTGTTAGCGAATTAGAAGAAACAAGCTTTAGCGAGACACGATTACAACAGCTGGTTATATTACTGACATCTTGACGTAAATTTTGATTGCTTTTAAAATATATAAACTTTTCTCGCTATATTTATGATTAAATAAGCGAAAATGTTGATGCATTGAGTAAAATACAATTTTATACAATCAGTAGTATGAATCCAACCTTGAATATCCAATCAAAATGCGCATAATTACTCGAAATGACGCGACAATCAGAAAATTTGAGTTAATAGCGAGGAAGGCATGGTACAGTGATAGATATATTTCATAAACTCTAATCAAGTGACAACCTTTAATAATAGAGATGTTATTTAAAAAATGCTTTTTTTCATTGTGATTAGCAACTTTATATCTACATTAAAATCCTACGGGTCCTTATTTCGCACTTCAGTAGACATCTATGACCGTTCGATTCACACATTTTTCATCAACTTATATTTACTATTCTGATTTACAATTAAATTTGTTTCAATTAAAATAAGTTTGCTTGAAGATGACAATCGACTGATATTCCAGTATTAGGGATATACATGTTTAGCACTAGAGATATTCAAGTCTTTTGAGAAAATTAAAAGTGCAGAACGGAATACAGAAGAAGCTTTTATGAATCCCAAACCAAGTTTTTAACATTGTTTAGCTAATTAAAATCCTGAAGATAAGGTTAATTTATGAACGCAAGAAAAGTATGGATTGTCATACAAATATACTAGCGATAAAGAGCGATAGGTGGGAACAAAATATACTCTCGTATTAAAGCCTGAAACAGTAGGCTTATAGGTAGGTTAGTTTGAATATCAAAATTATTGGAGCCGGTCATTTGAAGATGTCAGGACTCTTCAAGAGACTAGTTGGTCTGGTTAGAAAAAAAACTTGCATAAAAGAAATCCGAAAAGTCAATAAGCAAAACGACCAAACTCTAACATTCATATTTGCAAGCGTTCGGTGAAAACGTTTAAATAAATTCGACGGGATATAAGCATTCGTATTTTAAATTTACGGTTACAATTAGATAATAAGGAAACTAGAAAACAGATAATTTTTAAGGACAAACTGATGAAAACGTTAACCAAATATAACGTAAGGTGAGATAAGTACATAAAATAAGTCCTGTTGATTCAATTCATTGAATAACTCAATTTTTGAATTTTTAATAGGATTTACATTAGATGTTTCTACCTACAATATTTCAACCCTTATACAATAAAAAACAATTGAAATAATATCAGGTTTAAATTTTAGAAATATTTTGTAAATAGGATTCAAATAATCAATAACAAAGAAAATGAATAGATCTTTGAAACTATTACTTCCTTAAAACTAAAGTTGTTCGAAAAGATAATATTCTGGGAAATTAGCAATCACTTTATATAAAACCTTCAATAGCAGGCGACCCAATGAAACTAAGAAGAAAATTATAAACCTGTTAAAACTTTGGTCAGGTTCTAGTGAATTCTTATTTGTCATTGCGTGAATATTGGTTAAATCAGAAAAGCTTTAATTTAAATCATCGTATGTTTAGAAATCATTTTCAATACCAATCATAGTGCATGTTAATTTCAGTATTTTACATTTTAGCAGTTGACAAACAAACAGTGCACACCAAAACTATACAGCCTCGCATCTGGATATGACCTTGAAAACCAATAGATCTACTTTCAACGAGTATAACTTGAAAAAGTACACACATTAATATATTGGTGGTTTTGCTATAAAATGAAAATCTAAATATTTCTGAACCATAGGTTCCCTTTGACCATAAATTTCAAATAATTTACAAGATTGTATTAAGATAATAAAATCCGACATGTAGATGAAATAACGATTCCTCGAGAAGATAAATTTCAAGCGTTAAGCTTTTATAAATATGTGACATGAAAGTGTGATCGGTTTTTGGTTTCTATTGCAGTCTAGAAGACAAGGAGGAATTTCCAGCAACAATATAATCTCGAACAATGAATCATATCGTAATATTTAGTAAATACTGACATGACTGAGTAATAAATCACGTAAATGAACATGTTATTCACTTTAAAGGGATATATATATATATATATATATATATATATATATATATATATATATATACATAATGAACTACACTGAAATTAAGAAAACAGAGACTGAAAAGAACTCGAAAACTTTCCAAGATTTAAGATATAAGCAGTGATTACATATGCATGTTTGCGTATGGACTATAAAAGTCAGTCTTCATTAATTTTTTTAAAAATATCAGGATCAGAAACAGTAAGACAGTCCTAATGTAGTTAAAACAAACACATAACCAGCTCTTTTTGTGCATGTCCAACAGTTGCACCACAAATAGAGAACATCAGCACATTTCATTACCTAGTAAGAAATGTGATTATCTCTTTGACACGTTTAGGATAATATATTAAATGATTTAGGCTTATGTACTCAACTACCTCACATTATATGAAAAAATTGTACCTAAGAATATATAAACATGTGAATTACTGTTACAAAATGCTAACTAAGCTCGACATACAATTAATTATATTTCAGAACATGCTCAATTAGCATGATTTAGATGTTCTCAATGTTTTGAGACAGCGCACTTTTAATGAACGCACTACCCATTCAATATCATTTGCCAAAGGTAAGTAGTTTTTCAAACTTTCCCGATTAGCATTTGAAACTGGAAGAACGGCTTAAAAACTTTAACGCTTGCTATTAGATACTTATCATGGTTCATTTATTCAGTCTTATAATGATAGTAGACACACAATTTTACTTACCACAAAACATTGGTACAAAGGGGCTACAAATATATAAGCGCCATAATGAAAATGAGGTTGTGAAGAAAAGGACAGATGAATGCAATAAAAAGACAAAAATGAATAGAAATCAGTGTGAGCTTCAAAATAACTATAATAATATGGGAGAAGCAGTTTGGTTAAGCAAAATGCAACGAAAACAGATAATCTCAGTCAAAGACGTTTCTCACAATTGTATAAGTAATACGCAACAAAGGGTGGATAGATACCATTATTGTTATTACCATATAGTTTGTGTGCGGGACAGGTAACTGTCTGGGCCACTCGCCGAGCCTTAGATCTTACGAAAAACCGATAGGAAATTTAGTTTTAATTCGGTTTAGTAAACACAAAAATCTAGACTGTCAGAAGACCAGTTTTCTGTTGAAAAATTATTGAAGCAGTAAAACGACTAGGCGCTAACCTCGACCATAAGGTTTTTGAATATTCAAAGCGCTCAACTTGTACAAAGGACGGAAATGGGGTTGTTCTATAGGCATACACAACTAAGGATGATTGGTTTATCATATCTTTACGGTCATGAATTAATAACTAGAAAAAGGTAAACAATAAAGCTAAATTCAAACGGTGCAAACACATATTTACACTGGAAATAGTATTTGTACATAGGTCATCGAAAAAACCTGGAAACGCAAGAAATTCAATCAGTAGCTACATTTGACAGTTATTTTATACTTCGAGAAAAAGTGGATAAAATATGCTGCATACACACGCATAACATAAATAGTGAAGTTCAACTTCAACAGTTATGTGAACAAAGCTGCACCATATCCAATGAAAAATGACCACGGAAAATTAATCCTAGAAACTGTAACGACTGTAGTGCGGTATATCAACTGCGACCCTCACTACTATCTGGAAAGCTATTTATGAATTTATTAGTTGCACAATGTATAAAAAGCTAATAACATAGGAATAAGAGTTTATACAAATGTATATCGTAACTTATTCGTGATTTCAACCTGAGCATATCTCATATAAAGACCATATTCAACAACGGTTGGAGAACAAAAACTATGTAAAACAGTAGGCAACGGGATATTCAAGCACTTAGAAATTAACTGATATACATAACGATCTTGATTTTTCATTTGTGATTGACACCATAACAATATTAATATAAAGTAACAACTAACAAACATTTTTAGATAACAGACATCGTTTAGTGCGAAATTTTTTAATGAAATAGCTCAAAAAAGATGAATCATTACCGTCAGTGTTGCAACATAGAAAACCTTAAAATGAAACTAGTTTCTCTATAAGCAAACATGATAAACATGGTAGGGGCTCCGCTTTTCATGATGTAAAAAAATGAAAAGAGAGATTTAACCGAAAAACTTGTCGACTATTTCCTAGTTCAAGAAAATATTTTTTGACAAAGGGCAATAAGAAATAAATGTTAAATATTGATAAATCATGTACTGTTCATAGAATTAGTCCTGTGAGGAGAAAGAGGAGACCCGTAATTACTAACTAAATCTCTTGATTTCGACGTGATCAGAGCTGATAGATAAGAACATCAAACATAAATTTTACAAAGGTTTTCATTGAACGGATTTGATGCGACCAACCTGATATCACTAAGTGGATATCCAAAATTGAAAATCGAAATTGAGATTTCATCTTCGATCCCATCTCACTTGCCAAATAACATGGAAGAACAAAAGACATACTGTTGAAGCGCTTTGCATCACAACCTGAGGGATAAAAGGTAACGAAATTTGAATGGTGTGCCATAAATTCACGTTATGAAAAAGTGACCTGTGTAGAGTTTGTGGAGAACTGATGTCAAAATCATCATATAGCCATTACTTAATTAGTTTAAGCCCGGATCGACAAAAGTCTCGTATTTTTACGTGGTATATATCAGCTGCAACACGTTAGGTATAGATGACAGTCTAGTTCCTCAACGAGCACATCACTGTTTAGATAGTAACAGTATCACTGCGTCGTTGAAACAGCAGCTCAATTTATTTCCACACATAAAGATTGGTACAAAGGGGTACCAAATACGGATGATCAATTTAACTGAAAAGTAAAAATATTTCTCTACCTTAATCATCTAATAAGAATAGAGAGGTGAATCCTTTATCAAGATCTGTAGTTCTATTTTAGGACTATTTTTGAATCAAACAAAGGAGAATTATAGTTCAATTTACGTCTATCTACAGTATTTTTAGTGGCCAGATAATCAAAGGTAAGACTCTTCTGATGGTAGGCAACAGTTGTAAACTGCCTGAGAGTAGTAATATAGTAGGGCTTAGTGACAACCCTTATGTCGTCTTTAATGCAGACGACAAGAATTAGAGGTTATTTTACCAGAAATTAAAATTAGCCCCCTGGGTGTAAACAAGAATAAAATGATTTTATTTAACATGCACATTTGAAGTGCAGATCTGGTGTGTACCTAAGAGGTAAAAATGGTTATTCGGTAGTTATTTCAGAAGTATATCCATCATATAAAGGGAAAGTAATAATCAAATTTTACCGTCGTTGTTTAACTACCTTTATTGTTTCCCAGGGAAATTACGAGAATGTCAACCGTCTTTTAAGAAATGATGTCATAAGACATTCTTTTTAATTTATTAGTACACAAATTTTCAGGTCAGGAAGTGACTTAAGTTGTTTGCATACCAAGTCAACTCCTAAGTCCGTTTTACCATGAAAACTTATGACGGCCTGTATGTGAGAAATCTATTGCAGAGTACTGCATTTCGATGCTGTTCTCGGTAATATATGAATTATGGTGTGCGATAGTGAAGAAAAAAAGATTAAACGATTAGCAATTGCTAATTTCCTGAGTCCTTACATTTTTCTACACATCCAACAATGTTAGTATATTAACATTGCTGCCTGACGTGCAAACTGGGAGTGATATTAATCTGCGATCCCGGAATGGTACTCACAAGATGGTATTTAGACAAAAAATCCTGGTGATTGAACTAATGAATTCCATGCCATTGACATTACCACAAATTTAGAGTAGTCGAACTATAGAAAGGCACCTTATGGGACAAAGTCAAAAGTGTTATGAATATTTAGAAAAATTAAGATGGTTCGTTGGCGTAAGTAATCATTTACCAAATAATCTAATATCGCTGAAAACAGGTTGCAAATTTACATGTTTGTGAATGCTGGTTATTTTTCTCTTCAAACGTCGGAGACAAACTCCTGACTGGTAAACGGTAGGACTGTCTTTACATATCTAGTCACCAAATTATGGGACCATACTCAAATTCTAATTTTTTTCAGAGAGACAGTCAGTACTTCTAGCTCTCGCACAACAGATGTGACTTGACGTTGACCACAAAAGTTACTTTAGATTACTGCATTGAAATAATACTATCAGGTTAAAGCAAACGGAGTCGGAAATGAAAACGTTGTCCAAACAGATATTTAAAACTTTAATAAAAAGCCCTGTTTCGTAACGCGATACTACAAAAATATACAAGTATTTGTAATATGACTTATGTCAACTACATGTGACTAGAGCAGTAGTTAATGGCAAACAGCAGACCACATACTCTACATGGCGATAAAAGAACTCAAAATAAAAAAGGTGAAATTCTGAAAATAAACGTGTTGACTCTATTGATAAATGAACAATTTTTAGTTAGAAACCACATTATTTTATTGTATTTTATCTTATGAAGCAAATAAATCAGTTGTAATTGATACAGATAATGACTATAATAAATCTATACAAAGAGGAAAAACAAAACACATTGAGTGGAGAAAGTTAAAAAGGTAATTTGAAATAATAAAATGTGTTGCTGAGAACAAGGTAACATTTAACTCTTGGACAATCGATGCTAGTCAAAAAAGAAATTGAGCATTTACGGATTCAGACTCAATATAGGCAGTAACTCCCAAACAATGCTGGAATGAGAAAAACATATTCAGTTTTCGGGTTTACAATTTAAATGAACAAAAGGGGTTGGAAAAATACCGGCATATAAACTAAAGAAGAGTTGTGTAAATCACTTGTTTGTAAATGCGGATGATTGGAGACATTTTCTTGGAAAATATTTTGGTCATATGGTAACAAATATAAAAATTATTTAATGCAACGAATTGTTTCTTACTGGGTGCTTGGACATTTGAAGACATTCAGCATTCCCAACGGCGACAAGGATCAAACAAATTTGTAAGCATTATTCTGGTTATTTTCTCGTATATTCAGATTCGGTAAACTCAAGTATGTAACTGATTACTGCAATCTCACCAGATGAAAACACAAGCTAATTTAATGAAATTATTTTATTATTTATTCCTTTAAACTCAGACCAACATCTGATTCACTAAGATTGTTACGGTGTGATTACCTGCTACTTTAAAAACTCGATCTCATCGTTTTGCAAAAGTACTTTCTGACAAATACGCAAGTTTGAACAACTTTCCCGATAGCACCGAAGTGCACTGACGTTGGACATAAGGCCGATTGCTTAGCAAGATGCGAAATAGTAAGAGGCACAGTACTTCTCGAGTCCTCCTACTCTTGGATAATAATTTACAATAGCTAACTAAAGGAAAGTTAAACAATTCACATGGTTTGAAATATTAGATTATATGACTGAAAACCGGAGCGAACGTATTCACTCCAGATCTTTCTGTAAATAAATAACACTTCAGATCTGTCAAATAATTTATTTTCAGCATTCTTAGGTTAAATTTTTGCATAGTATTTTAACTCTTAGTTTCTTTTTCTTGTTGTGTTTACATGAACTAACAACTGAAGCCATTGGGTATTAGTGTCAGTTCTTACATTTTGACTGATTGATACATTTTTGTGCTATATAGCTAGGTATTGGACTCGGTCACGCCAAAACTAATCCAGTTAAACGTTGACAATTCAAGAACACTTTAGATTAAGTTGTCAGTAAATGTGAATGGTATGTGCACATTCAGTAAGGCCCGAGTTACCTTTGCTAAAGTTAAGTTTTTCTTCATCTAATGAATTGGTAGTATTTTCAGGTGGTACAGACAAAGCAGCACCTTCAATCTTCAGAAATTAAACTTCCAAACGAAAGTAAACCCAAGTTTGTTCAAATGAATGGCTGAGACCACGTCAAGCGTAGTTTGATGATATTTTGGAATCCAAATCCAGTATGAAGTCTTACATGATACATAGCTAAAATACTTTTTCTACAAAGAACATTTGTTTTGATTGCAACCACAGGTCATCTCGTCATCATGAAAAAAAACTTATCGCTACAAACACTCACTGAACAGATCCCCATAGTAATATATCTAAACAAAAACTTGGGGTATGTGTAAAATATAAGTGTGGGATTTTTGTGATATCACTGTAGATCTCGAAGAACTATGCATAATTACCGCGTCCATGAAGGTTTTTACTGAGAAAAATCGGATTTTACTATATCAGACCATTGATGTTATTAAACTAAAGCAATAACGAAAGAAACATAAGACTGATGTCGAATAATTATGAATATGAGTCTTCTCTGAGCTAACTTATATATGCAGACCCACGAACACGTTGCAGAACGCAGCTGAAATGGTGGCTTATATAGTTAAAGAAATTACGCTACGCAGTTATGGAGAGAAGAAAACCTATAGCAATCCCTTATAGAAAGTAATTTTTTAGTCATTGGGTAAAAGTGATGGGTTGGTACGAAGTTATCAACTAGAACAGGGAAGTGAGTTGATTGTCATAATTTCTTAACTAGTAGTGTTTACAAGGAAATTTTAGCTACGTTCAGTTTTGTGTGCACTTACCTAAACTTAACAGAAGCACAAGTAGTCACTTTTTCATGAGGTTATTTTGCATTATAAATCGAGAACGGTTTTGTAAAATTACTAATAATAATCTACTAAGGTTAATTAGAAATGTTCTTTAAAATGGAGCGATATGTATCAAGAATGCTTAAACTAACAGCTCTATCATCGTTTTTTCCCTGGAAATTGTGATATTAATCTTATTAGGACACAAACCGTAGGTTAATTAAATACGGGAATAAAATTTATCGTGTAAGTCTAAGAACTTGTCCGTCTCACTCTACAAATTGTGGATTTCACGAAATTAGAGATGCAATACCATGAATGCACTCCAACCATTGTAAAGAAAAGATGAGATCGCTTCTAAAACATAGATACTAAGCTATCTTAGTCGAAGTTATGAATCTAAATAGATGAATATTCAAGCACGTGACATCCAGCTAAAGCTTAACGTATATTGATACTTACTACCACTTATTTTAAATTGTTACCGTTACGAGCCTTGAACGAGAAATGAAGTGCAAGAAAATGCTAATATTATTTGAGACTGGATGTAAGGTTGGGTAGTATAGACTTCTGGGTAGCCAAATGAATGAAAAATCAAATTTCATCATATTGCTCTGTACATTTCAATTAGCAACATTTCGACAGTAATTAACTGGCCTTTTGTGTCAGCTTACGCTACGGACAGATTATGACGAATTTAGTAAACTAGTGCGACAAAATCGTAGAAGATTTAAAGAATGATTTTGCAGGTGTACAGACAAAGACTAGGAAAAAGCCATTGAGAAACATTATTTTGGACCTTTTTTGTCCAGCAGATAGGAAGTATATGTTTAGTTTGAAACTGAACTTAAATCTTAAAATACTTCCTTCCAAATGAATTTTGTATCAATCACGAAAAAGAACTTAATCACCTACAAAAAGCTTTGACGAGGGTTTGTTTATGTAAATATCTGGGTTAGAGGTAAAATCTTATTGGAATTTACAAGCTGTGTGCTTATGCGCTGGTTGACAACCAAGGCCATTTGTGAAGGTGAAAAGTATAAACAAGACAGACTTGACAGATCTCAAGTCCGTAAGTAAATGTTGGTCATCAAACTAATTGCTACCTTACTTTAAGAGTACACTCACAGTTACATATTTGTGTACCTGTCTTCGAGACACTAGTGATACAACCTGCTTGAGCAAACCAAAATAGATGGGAGATTAACAAGCAGGGCAAAGGAGTAGCATTTTGAATAGTTATCACTAAGTAAATATTAATACATCAGATAGTGAAATTATGGTGGACAAACGTAAAATGCCGGTAGACTTCTAAATAATTTCTCAATGTCAGACTAACAAAAAACGTGAGAGTCAGAGTGGAAATCCTAGTTTTCTTGAACTCTTTTGGTTTGCTTTCTAGATTTTTATATATGGCGCTTGAGTAAGAGGTAATTACTAGCAGTAGAAAAACTGCATTAACTACGCTAATGAACACTGCAAGTGGATTGAATTGATGAACAGGACTTAAGCGTATGGCATTCAAAAACAATGGTATTTTAATCGTTGAGTAAATCTCTTAGTTTTGGATGTTCTTACAAATCAGTGTCAATCGTTTTTGTTCCAACTGAGTCGTATTTAGCACTAAAAGGGGTAAGAGGTCTTCGTATATGTACACCTTCTGTGTACGAAGATTTGGCTCCGCCTTGGCAAGTTCTTTATATTTTAGTATTCAGTAACTGTTGCTCGGAAGCATATTGCGAATGATAACAGGAAAAATGTGACAACAAGTCCTGTTGACACACAAATTGATGTTTACATCACTGAACTAATCTCAATTAGGTCCACAGTAATCAAGTATGTTATCAGAGTAACAGGAAGAAAATCAGCTGTTTAGACAAAAATTAAACGTAAAAGTAGAAAGTCCATGACAGTCGTTGAGATATAAACACTCCCAAAAGCACATCTTGAAATATTACTAAAGGAAAAAGTTGATTGTCTAGAAACCAGATGTCTTAAATAAGACACAGAACATTCACTATTGGGATGGGTGATCTTAAGAAAGCGATATAGCATGTCCCAGTAACTGAGAGCAATAGTGCAATAAAGTCGAGTCAGAAGAACGTAAATACTAAGTACATGGATGTTTAGTCTCCTACTAGTCTGATTATATGGGATTCAAAAAAGTAGCTACATTTATAGTCGACAAAACATCATGCTCGTGAATCTGCTATCAAGTAGTTATGCCCTGGAAGCCTATACTTCCAAGTTATTTTTCAATGACAGGTATGAGACCTAACGCGAGCGATTCCACGGGTCACGACGTCTGTGGACTCTACATTTAGAATCATGGTATATATTTCTGTACTGGTAGAGTCATTATTCGTACTATATTGTACTTTAGACTTAATACATATGATGTTCAACGAACCCATTTCTTCTCGTCCAAATATTTTGGTTACCCAAGATCGATTCAATGGTCTAAAATCTGGTAAATCGCCGGGTCGTGGTTGAATACACCCACATTGCCATATTCCTCTCGACCACTGGCAGAACTAACCAATATGTTGCTCTTCTAAACTCAATTTCCGAGTGATTGTGAGTGTTGAAGCTAGATGGACTAATAAGCATGGAACTAACGACTAACTACAAAATTGCCAGTCTAACTGGCAGTGGTTGGTACTACAAAAAATACTCAGGAATAATTTGCTCATATACGTAGAATCATTAAGTTTTAACACCAGATTAATAAGGAATTCGTAAGTTAGACCCACTTGACTAACCTGATCACTGAGGGGACTGAACAGCTCACTGTGCCTGTGGACCCAATATTCCTAGATCTTGCCAAACCATCTGACGTGTACAGAAGCTTACCAACCTCAGAATAACATGTACAGCAAAAGATGGGATAAGGAACTTCCTTTTCATAAAAGATTGAGAGTAAATGGAACAGTATCTGAATGGAAAGACGTGCTTCAAGGTAATACTTAAGGTACCCAATTATTTCCACTGTCAATGAACTACGAAAACTGATTAAGCCATCGCGCCTTTGTTGCATATATAAAGATTTACAGACTAATGAACAATGATGATAATTACCCTGATCGTCAAGCAGATTTAGATAGATTACCTGAGTTTATTATAAACTCGGAGCCCAGAGATTTGATATAACTTTCACAATCGCAACAGAAAAAAACCTACGAGCAATTGTATATCATGATTACGAGACAGTTGCACACTACGATGAAGTAGCTAGTAGTTTTTGCGTGCTACGATTAGTCCAGTACTTCCAAATATTTCGTTCCATTTATGTGAGAACACTTAGACTACTGCACTGAAGCAGCTAGCCCATATCTTATTACGGATCCTGACATTTAAGTGTATTCAATAAGTGGGCATGAATGTAGTAACTGACTTTTCAAACTACCATAACGAGCGATTAAATCTACCTTATTTTTTTAATCGCAAAACGTAAGGTTTAGACATTATGTATCTTTAATAATGATCTGAAGGTTAACGTCTTTTTATTCTTTCTAGGACGAATCATTGAGGTCAAAATGTGTAACAACCGCGACCGAACGCAGGGTGGGAACCTGTATTTTCCACCGAGTGGCAAACAATTGGAATGCTCTACCTGGACTGAAATTAGGTCAATCAGTGAAGAAACTGGACCTCCGTAGGAATAATTATGCAAACATGAACAAATGTCTCTTGACATTCTTTAATACTGAGCTACCAATAAGACCTGATAAAACCACCCAGAATGGAATTTGAGGGTTCATTTTACGAGTCAGTTATTCTTGATATGAGTGTTAAAATCTGATCATTAACCGAGCTTGTAATGAAAAATACTATGAAACAAACTAGACGATTCAGTGCTACTTGTAAGTAGTTTAGGAATATTTGCATACTAGCTAGCACTATAACGAAACAGCTAGTACATTACAAAACTAACTTTTGAAACTACTTAACTGACTACGCAAGTCACAGTAGTACCAGTGGGGACTTTGTGTACTTTGAAGTGTGATACAACTAACGGAATAGTGGTTGATAATCCAGCAACCACTGTCCGCACTGCATTTACATGGCGATGTGATTAAGCGAAGGAAATTGGGTTTGAAACAGCAGCGTATACAAAGCCTTTCATGTTAATCAACATTAAACCGGATTACCGAGACCCAAGCAAGAAAATCTACGGAGGATCTCTGACGCAGGAGCTACCAAGAAACGCATAAATGCAACAAGAATTTATGAAAGCCAGTGAAACATAAAATTTACTTATTTACAGCAGATAAGATATTACAACTTAACCTTACAAGTTGGAGATGGATGGGAAATTAGTTCTATGTATTAAAATTGGCATTGTATGGATATTTCTAGATACTGACAGTCTGCACTTTACCGGTCCTGTTAATATAAGGAAACGATCTCAAAATTCAGTTGAGTTAAAAACACGTAATTCCACGGGTATTATTCCAATTAACTTGACTACTCATTGAGGCAAGATATAATTGACACGCATGGCAGTATTAAAATTAGCTAACAAACCTATTTCAAGTAAAAAAGGCGAAGTATCCATAATCAGGATATTGACAGAGGTATTATGGTATTTATTTAGTGAATTTAACAAGTTTAATTTTATCATTACATATTTAGACAGTACTACAGACAAGCAGTTAGATAATTTAAGCAAATTTTTTTTACCGAGTTTAGTGGTATTTGATTGGCGAAGACAAACATGAAATGCACCTCTGGCTTCATTGTCATTATTGATTATTTTTGATGACGGAGCCTCATGGTCAAATTAGTTATTTACCCGAAATTATTGTGATCATTATTGATTCCTGGACGCGCGTAGGGATGGCCTCGGCCTCGTCCGCGAGGTTCTGGGATGCTGACTTTTCCCCAAGTGTCGTCTTGTCCTAGATTAAAAATTTAGACCTCAATTAAACCCGCAAAGAGCTGCACAAAATAGGGAAAAGCGAAGCTACCCGACCTACCATAGTTCGTTCCGAAATCTTCAAAAACATGGGAATTGAACTCATTCTGCTCATACAGAGTTATTGGAGGGTAGGCAACGGTATTCACATCATTAGCAAACACCTCAGAAGCAACAGGAACTGGTGGTTGGATAGCAACACCGTTCTTGGCAACACCTCTGCCTATCCAAGGCTTACCTCGACCACGGAAGGGAAGCTGCACTGGAGGTGCAGGGAAGGGAGCTTGAAGTGGTGGTGGTGGCGGACCGCGCAAAGGGGGACGGATATTCCTAACGGAAACATTTCTTCCGGCCACGGGCAAAGGCTGATTTTGCTGAACCCACTGTTGAGCTGTGGGTTCTGTTTGCTCCTATAACCGTACATAACTTTGAAAACATCAACTCACTGGTAGCATGATTTTCCTTACTTCCGCTAAAGCATGAGCCAACCGATAACATGATTCCGAGGGTGGACCTAAACTATCAACTTGAAGGTGCAGCTTTTGCTTGAGGTGCTGATATTTCGGATCACCATTGGAGAGGAGCTGCTTTTCCTTGGCGTCATCTCTTAGACTGCCAGCACCTAAGATCGCCATTTTTGTTTTGGTGGTTTCTTGCACTGCTCTCAATGTCTGACCTCCCGGACCAAGAAGTTTCCCAACAAAATTAATAGCAGGATATTGTGCCTGAGGTATTTCTATTTTTGCCCTCACTTTTACAGGTTTGTTGCTGACCAAGTCAAATGAGTCCGCAATGCCGCCACGCAGACGGAAGAGTTCTGAAAAAATCAGTCTTTGGAAGCAAATCATACCATTTTCTGCCAAAGAGTACAAAGCAGGAAATGCACTGCTATCCAAGTTTTGTAGTTCACGCACTAAAGCTTCAACCGTCGCCGACTGTTCTGGTCGGAGTTCACCAATCTTCATTTCTGATGAAAAGACTTTACTATGGCCGACCTTCAAAGTGTTAAACAACGAGTACGATGTCCAATAATGTCGGTACACATAGGCATGATTCAACATTTGTCTCTGATATCGTGTGCTGACATAAAATGCCTGATACATGAGTCAGCCTTGTGGAAAATAAGTTTGCTGCGAAAAGGCTGACGAGGAAAGACTAATTAGATCATGTTATATCTTCATATAAATGGTTTTGAAACCTCGTTGTGTGGCAGGAGTTTTCGAAAGCTCCAAGGTCAATGTTCCTTCTGATAAACAGAGCATTGGCTAATATGGGAAAATGAGATGTGTCGACAACGTCAAAGACCGGGAGGGTCATTTAAACAGCGATGGAATTTTGGAGATTCAACCAGGCGGTAACTGGGACATTACTTGGATAAAAAAGAGATTAGCTTCAATAAACACGATGCTGTATTCCGGTCATGAAAAAGTAAGTTGTTCACAATAAAAAGGAGTTACACTAATTCTGTCCTAAAAATAACTTAAAGGATGGGAAACACATGGATCGAAGACCATCAAATCATCCTTAAAACCAAGAGGGCAAAGAATTAAACTAAATGTTATCTGGTGCTGTGTACCCACCAATGTTGTCATTGATGATGACCAGATTTATGGTATTGTGCGGTCTATTCTAAAAGAATGCTCAGAACAAAGTACCTGAAAGCTAAAGTGGAAATGGATAACATGCGATGCTTACACATCAATGAGCGACATGGACCGGGATGACAGAAACTGGTAGATTCACGCATCTCCAACAACATGGTTATAAGAAGAGGCACTTTCTCCCAAAATCACCTTCACAAATTATCTCGGGTTAATTCTAATCATACTATAAAATACCCTGTTAGTCACAGCTACACAGGTAAATTTGGGCTACCACATGAAAGCTTTTCTACTAGAAAATTCGAACGTTTCTAAAGTTATTTATTACAAGCGCATGTGTTTGTATTCTACCCTATATTTGTTAGTCTTTTCTGTGCTATATGAACGAAGCAGGCGTGTGATAAGAAAATGATGCACAGGGTGTCGAGTAGGCAGTTCATTTGGATTTGAAAGGCAGTTCCAGACGTGTTGTAGCTCAGGTAACATAATGATAGCACTCGCGTTGCACAGTCTGTGTGATACCTGTGTAATAAGTGGAGTGATAGCGCACCGAAATTTAAAGTACCCGCGACCAGCCAGAGGCCCACGCTAATACTAGGATATGCGATATTCCAGAAAATTTTCGCAAAACATGGTGAATGCTGCTTCACTCTGTGTTTTATTTCAGTCATTTTATTGTTTGTTCACAGCTTTAAGTCTCTCGTTGTGCAAAATTTATATCAGTTATGCAAAGCCTATAACTTTCTCAATCACGGTCTTTGCTTAATGCTTTTGATGTCGTAGTTAGTTTTAGGAGCTTATGGAAATCGAAATTTCGACAGTCGTTACAAGCTACTCATCAGATTTCTCAAATTGGCATAAAACGTTCACATTGTTAATCGAAACTCGTAAACCGGATCATAATTGTGACTGTTTAGAATGCTGGTTTCGAAGCCAGCCCCGTCCTCAAAATGGTTCGTCTAACATTCAGTTACTTTATTTATACCAATAAATACATCATTTCCCTGATTGCTTTCACACATAATTGGGATTTAACATGTGTGATGTGTTGGGAAAAAACTACTCCCAATACGTTTATTAACTTGTCGGCTCCTAGTTTTGTCGATTAAGGCAACTCAGGAAAACATTGTAGCTGTATTTATTACAATAAGTGGTTTGTAAATGATACTGTGTACTTTAAGTAACCGAGATTGCAAAATATGGATTGAAAACTTTTAAGTACTTAAGGAACATATTACCAAACTGATAACGATTGTATTCAAAAGCTAAAGTTTATAAATTGAATTAAAAACATTCCTCTAATAAGTGTAATGGAATTTATTTTAAAAAATGTGATTGTACGAATACCATTATCTTCAGTATATGAGAATAAAACCCTATTGATAATTTTCCTTTATCATGCTTTTTTATTCTTTGGACGAACGACATTCCTCACAAGATGTGAAGTATTAACTTAAAGTGCTCCTTGGGTGAGGTTTAATTCTAGTTGTTAGAGAAGACGTCTCTTGACAGACCAAATGACTTGTATATTTATTGCGAGATCCAGTCGATAAGATAATGTTTATTTTCCTTGTAAAGCCACTTATATTATCCAGGTCGAACTTACTCAGCCTTATTTCAGATATCTCCGGTAGATCATTTTCATACAGGCGACGGGGAAAAACGTAGCAGTATTTCGTTAGCGGTTACGTGCTTGCTCGTTACGTCTGATACAAGTCCCAACATAACTTTAACTTTTTTCAACTGCAACACAATGGTACGTCCGACAAACAGTGAGTCCATCGTTAATTCTTCGTATTTTAGTCCGGTCGTCTTTGATACTTTTTGACAATATAGTATTTATTTTGTCAAACTGAAACCTACTAATGGAAGCACACTAAAAACGCTCCTCAGTGTCATTTTCACTGAATGATGCAAAGCGTCCTTCAACATAGGGGCAGTCGTCAAACACACACCGTATATCTAATGTATCTGGTCCGATATTTTGTGTAGTAAAGCGATTTAGAGGAGGTTCGAAGTTAGAACCGGCCATTCGGAAGATCCCTTGTATCCTCCCCCCCAAGATTATCACAAGTAGCCTCGATCTTCAGCAGGCACGTTGATTTGCAAAGGTACCCCCTAAATGGTTACAGCTACTGCGATCTGAAACTTGACAGTACACCTTGTATCGAGAGAAGACGATCAGATCTTAAGTAAACTTGATTTAATGGCATATTTTTAACGTGGGTAATTGACAAGCCTCGCTCCAACCTTATCCTATTGAGTATATTGATAATTGAGCGATATATTAACTACTGAATATTAGTTATTTCCTTTTTAACAATTTCGACACATCACTTCATCCTGTGGCATTTATTTAGTTCTTTTTATTCTGCACGAGGGCCGGCGTACAACTTAAACTTTTTCTGTGACAGAAAGGCCCATGGAAAAGTGATTTTATTCGTACTCATACGTTCGCATCACAAACCTAATCGCTATATATTCATCTATCGGCAATCAAAAAATGTGACCCACATTGCCTTTCTTAAGCATGTCTCATTTCATTACTTTTATTTCTTAACCAGAACTCTTTGCCGCAAACGTTTCTTTTAGTTTGGATACGCTAGACTTCTGAATAAAGACGCTACGATTGGTCTCGTTGCGCACAACTCTGTAGTGGAAATTGTAGCAGGTAATGATCAATAAGAAATATAGGAGGTGGTCAATGGTGGAAAACAAGGATAGTAGTAGAATTGACCTTAGCTTATTAACTAATGTTCTATTAAGATAAAACTACACCGCGTGGAAAACTCCTAAGCAAGTCCGTTTTGTCAAAGTGGGTAGACTATCGTTCTCCTTGAAAACGATTTATTCAACATAAGACTTCATCAGTAGGATTTATATTTACACCCGACAGAAAGTTAAAATACATGAAATAAAATTCATAAGGATATATCATTAAGTTATTAAAAAGGTTCGTGTATCATTGCTGAGCTGTAAATTGAAAACTACTGTTATTTGTGCAAAGATATAACCTCGTAAAAACTGCAACTTTGGAGAAAGTCAATATCTTATAACTGAATAATTGTTTAGTCTTACAAATTTAGTGTCCGAATTATTATTGGGACTACATGTTGTTTGGAAAGTAGTTTAAGTCATATAGAGTATTTAATTATGAGTACTTATGCGCTTAAATGTCTTTTTCCTGTTTGTATTTCATCTACAGGTAGCGAAAGTAAGTCCTAGTCTTTTGGATCTTACCTTGTCGTCTGCAATGGATGAAGCAGTAGTTCTTAAAAATAACCCTGTTGACCGTTCAGGACTTTTGGATTCACACCACACATCCCTTAACAATTCTAGTTGTTCGACACCAATTATTCTTAGTAACGAAGCTGCCATTACTAAACATTGGACGTCTAGTTATCCTGATCGCTGGAAGTCTGTAGACGATCCTGGCCCACTAGGGCGTCTTGTGGTTCTTAATCTCAATGAAACGGATAATAGTAACAAAAATGAATATTTATTTGATGGAACAGCTGAAAATTTTGCGGTTGGCTCTTTACACACTGAACAACGAACCTGTTCTGTCATGTAGCTTTTTATGTACAACTTTCAAGAAATCAGAAGTCATGAATATGAGACAACTTTAATGTTGAAGAAAAAAGATGAATGTAAAAATGTATTTTCTTTATTCATTATATCAAAATTATTTGTCTGATAACACTGTGGTATTTTGGCAATCCATTTATCCTCAACATTTAAGGAAAATCTTAGTTTTCTTTTCAGTGCTTTAAATGTAAAAGGGATTTTTTGAAACAAGATTCAGTTAATCATACAGATTTCTAATTTGCAAATTAGTCTTGCTTATTCATTTATTAAAAATAATTACTTCCATTCAAAAATAGATTGAAGTGTTTTTGGATGAAGCAACTTCTGAAGTACATTACAAAGTTAACAAGCCTACTTCATATAATAAACTGTACGAAGAGAGTGCAGAAGTTATAAGCTTTTTTAGAAAAGTAGTTTGACCAAAACTCTCGTTGGGGACGTTAGATCCCCGGAACTCACTTTGGAAAAGACCTAATTTTGTAATTTTATTTAGAAAATTTGAATTTCTTTGTTTTCGCGCCAGAAGCGCTCTTGTCACCTTCATGTCGTATTCCCTGCTGGGAAATGTCTTAAATGCTATTAGTCCGTTGCGTCTTTTAGTATGCTATTCGGTAACTCTTCCCAGGGACGGTTTTGTACTGTATGTATACGTTTTGAATTGTGTTTGTTGTTATCGCTTGTTTCTGGCTGCTTGCAGAATATACTTCCCCATTCCAAGCTTGAACTTCTCCCTCTAGTTAGCGGGGCTGGGACGCATCAATAGCTAGCTTACTGGTCTTCGGTCGCCGAATCTTGTTTCTCGTTCGCAGATTAAGTGAACCCGTGATAGCTTCAACCCTAGCAACTCTTCATTCAACTTTTATACTGTTATTTTACTTCAGCCTATAATCTATTTGCTACTACTTCTAGAAATGGTTTTTCTGTCTCAGTTAAAAAACAATGGCATGGCACAAAGACCGATAACATCTCAATAATATCTTACATAAATCTTAGTATTAGTGCACAGCTTAAAGTGTTAATCTAGTAGCTGTTACCAGAAGCGTTAGAAGTTTTAAAACTTGTTTCTTATAAACTGTCAGTTCTAAAATTAACTTGTCACCGATTAATGATCAAGTTTATTTAGAAAAAGTTCTGCTATCGTTTTTAAAATCCATCTGTATTCCGCTGTACATTGGGTTTCTTTTTGTTTTTCTCACTTAAGACCACTGTCTAACACATTCATATTATCTATTTTCACCCCCCCCCTTTAAGTGTATTGATTCACTTAAAATCTTAGTGTTATGACACTTGGTTTTACTTCGTCTAATGTTATAACGGTTGGGTTTACATGTATGGCACGTTAATTTACCTTAAACGATTATCTACACTAGATTCCCTCCCAGTGTCTGTTCTACAGGACTTCAACACAACTCAGATCAAGAACACGTAATTAGCCTGAGCACAACGTAAATATATTTCCACACTAAAAACCCGACACAATCCAACAACAATGAACAATCAATGATAAGTGCGTCATAATAATAATAATAATAATAAGGATAGGGGAATATATAACTCATCTGACACCTGTCAGACTATCTACATGTCTGACTAAGCAGACAACCAATCATTCTCGCCCACACATCACTTAGATTTCAATTTTTGTTCGGAATCCACTTCTTAACATTCGAATTCTTAGTTGCAATAATTTGCTCAAACGTGTCGACATGTTCTGTGGATTACTCAAAATTTTCTTGTTTGCTAGCTGTTTCTACTAATAATGTAGCCTACTTGCTTCCTACTACAAATAAAACACCATAATCAATTTCCAATATGTTATACATAAATCTTGGAGTATTATAGTCTCATCAATCTTTTGTAAGTGGCACAAGGCACTCACCGTTTTTTTAATTTTTCATATTATGTACCGTCACATAGCATGTCGAAAACTGGCTTCGTCATTCTGTCATACAACCTAATATCAGCAGTAAATTGCCAAGACATGTTTAATCAGGTTTATAACTTGTTTGTTGTTTGATACAAAATAATACTATCGAGATCTTCAGTGAAAAAAGTGACTGTTTGACTTGACTTCTATAGTTACGATGTTCTGTCATCGCGTACGACGAAATAACACAACTCTGAAAAACTATAGGTGATTTAGAAATTCACTTCTCGTCCATGGATGTAGTCGTATTTCTGTTGTGTCGTGTAGCTTAATTCTCATCCGTTATTATGAGGAATAATCTTAAAACTCAATGTTAAGTAAGAAATCGTTTTTATTTGTTATGCTCCGTACAGAGACAACAGGTAAATAGTAAATAAATTTCCTTGGTCTTTATCAACCTTCTTCATTGGAGTTTAATGTTTTATTAGTCAGTGTTTTGGCTTTTAAAAAAGCACGTTTATAACTGCACAAATCATCTCACCATAAAACCCATTTGTGGGTTCCAGTTATCCTCTATTTCGTATAATTGTTTATCTTTTTCAACTAAACGAATATGCTTTGCACGGAAACGAAATTCAGGGTATGCGGACAAAACGAGTCTTTGATAGCTCTGAAGGAAAAAATCAATATTTTAATGCTATAGTTGAACATATTTCGACATATCAGGGTTTTCATATTCAAACATGTAGGCCAGTGGTGTGTTCGACTTTGAGCCAATAAGTTATGGGTCCGGACCTCGTCTACTTCAACTTGAGCAACTGAGTATTATCAACAGCCTCCACGTCAAGAAGACTCCTCAGAGCTCAACTTAACGACAAAAATGTTAACAAGATACTTCAAGAAAAACTAGAGAACCAGCTATTCAATCGTCAAAGTGATGCGGAATGACATGATATCCAGACAGCAGTGATATCTACCAATAACTTAAACCAAAAGGTTTAAAAACAATCAACGAATTTCATCAGCGTCTACTGAACTGATAGATACTAGGAAACTCATACTATCGAGTTCCAAGCACGATATGTAGACTGACAGAAAGTTTACCCAATGATAGTAAGCGGTGGCGGGGAGCTAATTCAAAAGAGATGGAAAAGGCGGGAGTTGTAGTCGATTTTTCAAGTTTATCAAAGAAACAGATATTAGGAATTTACGAGTTAAGGATATTATTTTTAAACAAGATGGGATAATGATCCACTTTTAGCCCAAGAGATTGAGATGAGGAAAACGCTGAAGAAAAATCCAAATGTTACCGACCTACCCTTCAGTTGTTTACTTTTACCAAGCAATCTAAATAGGATGCCAACATACACCCTCTGACTCTTAATGAGACAGAAGTCATAGCTAATCTAAAGCGAGGGAACGCTCTGATGGCTTAATTTGGGGGATTTTCATGGGAGAGGTAGTCCAGTTTTATCTGTTAGATTGGCTGAGACCTCCGTTAGAGTCTGAGAAGTGAACGCGATCCCATCTGGGTGGTCTTGATCTCTGATCGTTCCAGTCTATAAGAATTGACAGGAATAGTCTTGTGATAACCACAAAGGAATCAACTTGGTAGTGTCTAAAGTATTCCATTCCATCTAGGCGAACAGCAAGTGATGATCTGATGCTATATCAACCCCATCATCCTCCTAAAATGTTTGTTGATTCATAGTGTGATCCGGTGGAGTCCATGTGTTTTTTGTATGTGCGTTTATGTGAGAATATAGTGCCGCCTATGACCAGTCTACTCAGGAAACATAGATTCTCAGATCTTTAGCTATTTTCGTTCTTTTTTCCTAGACTATGTCGTCCCAGGATATCTTCATATCTGGTGTTCTTCATTCCGACCTTGGCGTTAAAAACTCAGAATTGTCAAGTCCTTTGTTGGGCATTTCTCAACGATTGACTGTAGCATATCGTAGAAACGATCTTTAACATCTTCATTTTAATCGTTGATAGATGCATAGCATTTGGTGAAATTCATTGTAATGCTTTCTTTCCATGTTTTGAAGGCGGCTTTGATGATCCTGGATCCATGAGATTCTCATCCTATAAGTGCTTTTTGTGCTTGTTTGGATAGCATCAGTACAACTCCTGGTGTTTGTGAAGAATTTTCTTCCCTGAAATTAGTCTTTGTTGTCCAAACTGCGTCCCATGTGTTTCACTGATTCCAAGCAGTTTGACGATTTGCGTAGTGTATGTCCTATCCATTTCCATCGTCTTTTCCTAATTTCTTCATCTGGAAGTTGGTTTCTTCTCTCATATAGTAGGCTATTGCTGAAGGTATCTGGCCAATGGATGTTGAGTATCTTGCGTAGGCAGCTATTTATAAATACTTGTACTTTCCTGATTGTGGTTGTTGTAGTTCTCCAAGTTTCAGCTCCATACAGTAGAACTGTCTTGACGTTCGTATTGAAGATTCTCACTTTGATATTGGTTGAAAGTTGTTTTGAGTTCCATATGTTCATCAATTGTAGGAATGCCACCCTCTCTTTGCAAATCCTCGTCTTTACGTCTGCATCTGAACCTGCTTGTTCATCGATGATGCTTCCCAGGTATGTGAAGGATTCTACATCTTCCAGAGTTTCGCCATCAAGAGTGATTGGATTACTGTTCTCCGCTTTGAATTCGAGGACCTTGGTTTTCCCCTTGTGTATGCTGAGGCCTACTGATGCAGAGGCTGATGCTACACTGGCTGTCTTTATCTGCATATGTTCATGTGTATGCGACAGGAGGGCTAGGTCATCTGCGAAGTCCAAATCGTCTAATTGATTCTGAGCCGTCCACTGTATGCCGTGTTTTCTCTCAGATGTCGAGGTCTTCATAATCCAGTCAACCACCAGAAGAATGAGGAAGGGAGAGAGTGAACAGCCTTGTCTGTCTCTGGTCCTTACTAGGAATGCATCTGTCAGCTGTCCTCCATGCACGACCTTGCGCTGTAGTCCGTCATATGAGCCCCGAATAATATTGACAATCTCAGGAACTCCTTAGTGTCGAAGAAGTTTCCATAACGTCCTCCTATCTACACCGTCAAATGCTTTTTCATAATCAATGAAGTTGATGTACAGTGTCGAGTTATA